ACGTGAAGAAGAACATGTCTTCTCGAAGTCACGGATCTAGGCATCAAGCACCACCGTCAATCGCCGTGCACCGCCATACTCCGATTAATCGCCGCCAACCAGACATGAAGCGATGTGCATTGAGGATGCTCTAATATATTTTACAGCAAAAGACTTTTCGGACATATATTATATGTTGAAGCATGTATATATGTATAGAAATGAAAGGAAAAAATGGGAAACAAATAAATATTTGGGGTAACTAATGAACATAGAAAAACTGAAGGGCACTAAAATAGTCAAATAGGATATATTCCATGTAGAAAACAAAAAACAATCGCAAAATTTATTAAGATGTGTATAACGGTGGTTATGGAGAGACAATTATGTTCTTCCATTATTTGATTATAAATGAAGTAAGAGTTGAGTAACAAAATATGTGTATAACTAAAGGGCGTCACTCACTTCATGGCAACTCTGTTTACAATGTTTGCGGAAATATTATTTCTTTCAAGAAAATTTTTTGAATCACTTTTCAAATGTCATTTTTTTTAAATATCATCTTTTCAAAATATTTACAAAAATGCTATTTTTTCAAAAAAAAATTTCATTATATCTTTTACGTTTAGATTAACTATGTTGTATTAGTGTTTAGTTTTGATAGTTTAAAGGGTTTTAGAGGTTAAAATATTTTTTAGGGTTTACAATTTTAAGATTTAGGCTTTTAAAATCTATAATTAGTAGTATTTTTGTAAATAGACACTCTTAAATGATATTTTTACAAATGTACACAAAAAATGATATTTTTGCAATTGTTCCTTCTTTCAAATCAAATTGGTTCTTTATTCAAAATTTGTTAGTTTGTTCCGTTAAGACTTTTTTTCATTGTAAAATTCGCTATTTAGTTTCGCACTTCTACTCGTAATTTGTTATTTGTTTAGTTTTCGATCTTCCATTGTGTTATGTTATTTTTATATTCATCTGTCAAAAATTAAAATCAGTAAAACATTTTAATATATTCTTTGTATCGAGCGCTTTTGAGTATTTTTGAAAAATATCGAATTTGAAATGAAAGGTCCATGACTCAAATTAGCTCTTTCGACATCTCTCGGTCGGCTCCACTTTCCGCTCAGCTTTCATTATAGCGGTGATGGGACCAGCAGCGGTGAGTAGCTGGTTATCTCCAACCAAAGATAGCCACGTGGAAATCTAGGGTCTTTTAAACTTTGACGCTGACTTTCCTAAGAGCATCACATTAATGATCTTTGTAGGTGTCTTTAAATAAACAAATATTAAAAATACATTCTCTC